TCATTACTATAAAAGAAAAATAGCAAAGCTGAATGAGTATCGCAATATGCAAAATCATATTAGTTAGGTTATCCAGATACTTGCTTGTATTCACCTTGAATTGTTCAATAAAAATGAAGAATTTTCAATTTTTATGCCTCGATAGCAGCTGGATTGATAGGTTACATCTATGTAGATGACAATTTCTAAGTTCTAAAATTTGGTCTCATTGATTCCTCTATAAACCAAATTCCTACGCATTTTCTCTTTCTAACGATCCTAGTTTGATACAAGTTTTCTAATAACTGCCTTATTGAAAAATAAATACAATCTGAAATGTTTAGAACATATCAGAAAGATAAGGAAACTGAAGCAGAAAATTTCTCTAGAAATTTTCAACGAATAATATAGAAATGATCTCATCTTCGAATCAAAATTATATTTTAATGGCAGATAAAAACAAAAGCGAAATTTACTGTTGTATAACTCGTGGAACATCAGGTGTTTCAGTAATAGTAGCTTGTTTTTCAACAACTTTTGCTAGAATTCGATCACGTTTTTTTATATTTGTATGATTTACTGAATAAAACAAAACAAATGCATGAAACTTTCAATAGAATAGAAAATATTTACAAATCATCATATTCTGATTTAATATCATCAGGTATATCAAATGGTTTTCTTGTTGGTGTTGTTGTTGTATAGGAACATTTCGTCTGTTCTGTCACATCACCTGTACAACGATAACATGTATAACTATAATAAACAATAGAAAAGAAAAACATTTCTAAAAACAAACAAGAAACAGTTTACTTAAAAATAAGAAATCCTCCACATTCGGGACAATGTTCTAATGCTCCAAAAGCCATACAATATGTAACTGTATCAATTAACTAAATATTCAAATAAAAGAAAATTCTTTCAAAGACAAATAATAATTGATATTACATGTGATTCTCCAGTAACAATTTTTTGTTGATTATGTTCAAGTAATTCTTTAAAAACATCATTTGGTACTTCCTTTCTTAGTTCATCTTTATATTTTCAAAGTAATTCACTTTGTTCTTAAATACCGAAAAAAACAACATCTAAACTATAAATTAGAAAAGAAAGAATAAACATTTTTCTGACTTGTTTCTTTCTTGTTCAGGTGTTGAATTAGAATTCTCTTTTTTTTTGATTGTTTAGCCTTTTGTACATCACCATTTTCATTTGTTAAAATTAATGTTTTATCACCTTTACGTTTTAGCCTAACAGTTGATGAACCAAAGTTCGCTTTCAATTCAGTTTGATCTTCTTTATTAAGATCATTAAAACCTGAAAATCTAAATCAATTCAATTGAACAATAAGAACATTTGGAATGAAAAACAATACAAACGTTTCAGAAGTTCATCAAAAATGAAGTTTATCTTTATATTCTTCGAAACAATCAATATGATATCAAAAAAAATTAAAATAAAGAAAATATTGGTTTTTCAAATGGACATTAAATTTGGTGAGGCATATTCATAGCATATGATTTAAATCTAGAAGAGGAAAAAAACTCACGTAAGTTACATTTATTTTTCTCTGTATGGTTTTAATAAATCTCTAGAGGATAATTCCACGATTATCTCTTTCTTCTTTTTTTCCGATAAATGTTGTAAATCGATGTAAGACCATCGATCTAATTTCACGGCGCACCATACATGGTAATACTAAAATTATAAATAAGTCGCCTGTCTCATTTGACAAAGGGTATAAAACTAATTTTAAACCTACTGTATTATCCGACGTGTCCTTCACCGAGGGATAATCGACCTCTATCCGTTTAGTATCTCTTGAAAGCATTTTGCATGAGAAACAGATGTGTCTGCCACCCTGAACTTTAGCATCCACACCTCCTATAGCAAAGATCACAATGGAAAAAAAAACACTTCCTAATCGAATCATACCCTCCATGCCACGACCATCAACACGATCGCCAATAAATTCTCTATTGGTTGAACCCTGAAAAAATTGTGAATCGGATGGCATAGACGAATCTGAAGATGGCCGAGTAGAAATACCTATTAAAAAAAATCAATTTTTGTTTTTAAATGAAATTTTTCTTATACGAAGATCTTGTTGAGTTGGTGGATTAAAACGATTTGTTGATGAATATATT